AAGAATCGCTACTGTCAGATGTTGAATTTATGCAACTCTTAAAGAAGAAACAAATGATACTGATAAAATGAAAAAAATGGAAAGAATTAAACTACTTCTCAATTCTTATATTAATACTTTTAATACATATATTGGTTGCGAGGATAATATCGAAATAAAAAATTTATAATAAGTATAGTTAAATAAAACAGATCTAAATAAATGGACGCTCTTAAAAATTGTTTACAAAAAATTTCTAATAATTTAAAATCATTAGATGATGATGATGAAAATACAATAATAATTGATAAATACATTGATGAATATGTAGAACAAACTATGATTCGTGTTAAATCTCTATTTAATGAATTTTATTTAATTGCAAAAGAATATCAATTTAATTTAGATCTGGGTCGTGGCGAAGAAGAGTATATAAAAACAATGCTTAAAGAATCATTCCTTACAGATTTTAAACCTTCAAAATTATCTTATGATATTATCATTAATGTTTTATATTATAAAATTATAAATTTCTTTAAAATTTATGAAAAAACAAGTTTAGAAGATATAGAAAATTTAGATTATTTAACGGATTTAGAAGATTTAAAAGATTTAGACCATTCAGAAAATTCAGAAGATTTAGAAGATTTAAATGCAATAGAAATTCTCAATCAAAAATTAAAATTTAATATACTATGTGAAACAAATAGATTATTAGTTGAAAAAACTAAAATTCTACTAAATAATTCTATTACTTCTTTTAATAATTCTATAGGTGAAGAACTAAATATAAAATTAAAATATTTCGATTAAATCCTATTTATAATATACACTATTTTTATATCAAAATTATTTATTTTACATAATAATTACTAGGACAGTTTTTATATCCACAGCTTCTCCATTCTCCATTATCAACTGCACCAGAACCCTTATATATACACTACTCCCGATTGAAAGACTTGAAAACGAAACAGAGAGATGAAGCTATCAATGAATTTGTCAGTAACTGCAACGATAAAGGATTTCCAGTCAACCATAGGATTATTAAAGCTAAAGCAATGTCAATTGCTCAACGTGAAGGTCAAGTTTTCAAAGCTAGTAATCATTGGTTCAATAACATGAAACGACGGACAAGTTTAAGCTATCTTGAAGCTACAGGTGAAGCTAAATCCGTCAATCAAGAACAAGTTGACAATTGGTTTTACAATGAATTACCTGAAATATTGAAAGAGTATCCAGATTATCAGATTTGGAATGCTGATGAAACAGGGTTGGAGTACCGGCAAATCGATCAAAAATCTTATTTTGTTAAGAAAGCTGACAAATGTGGAATCAAACAAGCAAAGGAAAGAGTCACTATCATGTTATGTTGTAGTCTTGATGGAAAGAAGAAAGATCCATTGGTGATAGGAAAAAGTAAAAAACCAAGATGTTTGTCATCAATTTTATACAAGGTGATTGATAATTGACTCCGGATTTTTGCGCCCAAATATTTTTCGAACTAAGGAGAGTAAACAGCATTGTGATATATCAATAGAATGGTCTTTGACTAGAGAACATATTAAAATAAAAAAAAGAATTTTCCAATAACTTTAGCTCTCAAAAATGAACGAAAACTAACTTTTTTTCTGTTTTGGTTTTTCGAATTTTTCATTCATTCTGAATTCGAATTTTTCTTACTTTTTAGGGTCAAAAGAATCTTGAATGCACGTCCAAAAATATTGCCTACTTTTTATTTCAATGAATTATCTAGCAAAAATTTTTCCCTATTCTTGAATTTTCATCCCTTGTCTATCCCATTGAAAATTGACCGAAAATTGCCTCAAAATTACAGCTTGAATTACGCCAATTTTGTACATTTTGTAAGATTGATAGTTCAGCTTGGAATTTTTCACTATGAAAATATACATAACTTTTAAGTTGGACTTTCAGCTTTCTAATGATATCAAAAATAAAAATATCGGCCCAGTAATTTCGAATTTATTATCGTTCAAACGTCCGGAGTACATTATCAATCACCCCGTACAATACTAAACAATTTAATATTGATTACCGGGCAAGTAAGAAGGCTTGGATGACAAGTGTATTGTTTGTTGAATGGCTCGACGATTGGAATCAAGAACTGAAAGAAAAGAAAGAGAAAGTATTATTATTCATTGATAACTGTCCTGCACATAAAGTTGATGAGAAAAAATGGAGTAATTTAATAATTATTTACTTACCTGTCAACACAACTAGTCGATGTCAACCTTTAGATGCTGGTATAATAGCAAATTTTAAACATCACTATTTCACTGATCTGAATGTTTTCCTTGCTTCACTTATGTCGACAGATGAAACAATTGAGAATATAATTAAGTCGATAACACTTAAAGAAACAATCCAATGGATTAGTGAATCTTGGGAAAAAGTAACCCAAAAAACAATAACAAACTGCTTTACCAAATGTAAATTTTTCAAAGTTAATTAAAAAACCATAGATGGCGACTGTGAAAATTGCTTTAAATGGGACCAAAAAAATTGCTTTAAACGGGTACTTTACAGTACTGGTCAATTTGACCAACAGACTAGATTATGTTTTCTCTCTCTCTCTCTTTAAATTGTGATCAACAAATTGTTAATTTATTGAAGAGGGTATTCTCTCAATACTGTGCTCATCATAATCAACTTAATTTACTTAACTTAACTTAATTACCTGTGTTCTTGTGTTAATGTTTGATTTACTGGTGACTTAGACACCTCAACTGAAATACAATAATTCAACCTCAAATTGATTAACAGCGTTGATTATACTTTAAGTTATTGAGAAACTGATCTCACAAGGGAAGTGCCTTTGCTGGTACGATCATTTTCAATTTTTTTCGAGCTTATATTGTAGAGGGCAAAAAATAATTAGACACGTATTTTTGCTTTTGTTTCGCTAGTGCGCGGTTATTGAAATTTAAGCACTTTTTATTAAAGATAGTAATGCACTGCGGCCATTGAAAAGTACATAAAACAGATGAAAAGCAGAAAATGAAAATATCTTAATGAAAATTGTAAATCATTTTTCAGTAACTCCAATAGATTACAATGCAATATCCTCGCTTAAAAGTGCGCAAATTTCAATAACCGCGCACTAGCG